CGGTGTGTGAGAGGATGTGGTGTGTGAGAGGCTGCGGTGTGTGAGAGGTTGTGGTGTGTGAGAGGCTGCGGTGTGTGAGAGGTTGTGGTGTGTCAGAGGCTGCGGTGTGTGAGAGGTTGTGGTGTGTGAGAGGATGTGGTGTGTGAGAGGTTGTGGTGTGTGAGAGGTTGTGGTGTGTGAGAGGCTGCAGTGTGTGAGAGGTTGTGGTGTGTGAGAGGCTGCGGTGTGTGAGAGGCTGTGGTGTGTGAGAGGTTGTGGTGTGTGAGAGGCTGCGTGTGTGAGAGGCTGTGGTGTGTGAGAGGCTGTGGTGTGTGAGAGGCTGTGGTGTGTGAGAGGTTGTGTTGTTTGAGAGGCTGTGGTGTGTGAGAGGTTGTGGTGTGTGAGAGGCTGTGGTGTGTGAGAGGTTGCGGTGTGTGAGAGGCTGTGGTGTTCATCTTCTTGGTTCTTTCGGTAAAGTCACGTAGAATGGAAATAACAAAATAATAAAAATAAAACATAATAAGATAATTCTCACGACGTTTCGGCCACAACGCAAGCAGCCGTCGTCAGGTGAAGAACAGGTCTGTCAGAAAGACAGCGTCTGAATGAACACCACCAGGCTTGGCAGCGTATATTTAAGCTGGGTTGGAGGGGGAAGAGCGCCTTGACAAAGGAATTTGCATATCAACAGGAATTTAGCATATTTATGGGAAATGCAGGTATGTGATTAGTACTACTTATGCCCGTGCATTATGCAGGATTTGCAGCATCAAAGGGAGGGGATATGGGAAATGCAGGTATGTGATTAGTACTACTTATGCCCGTGCATTATGCAGGATTAGCAGCATCAAAGGGAGGGGATATGGGAAATGCAGGTATGTGATTAGTACTAATTATGCCCGTACATTATGCAGGATTAGCAGCATCAAAGGGAGGGGATAGGGGTAGCATTAATAAAGGGAAGGAGTGTTAATAGTATGTAGCTGCAGTAACTAAAACCACCACGTGAACAACTAAAGTATAAACTACATAGTATCATCAGTATACTAAATATACTCTACAATAAGCTGAGTTACTAACAGTAAGTAATACATTACAATTCTACGTCGTAAAAAATATAATATGCTTCCATCTAAACTTTATTCTCCTACATCACACGAGTCTACACCGTACTATATACTGCCATAGACAAAACGTAGAATTGTGTGTGAGAGGCTGTGTTGTGTGAGAGGTTGTGGTGTTTTAGAGGTTGTGGTGTGTGAGAGGTTGTGGTGTGTTAGTTGCTGTGGTGTGTGAGAAGTTGCGGTGTGTGAGAGGATGTGGTGTGTGAGAGGATGTGGTGTGTGAGAGGCTGTGGTGTGTGAGAGGTTGTGTTGTTTTAGAGGTTGTGGTGTGTGAGAGGTTGTGGTGTGTTAGTTGCTGTGGTGTGTGAGAAGTTGCGGTGTGTGAGAGGTTGCGGTGTGTGAGAGGTTGCGGTGTGTGAGAGGTTGCGGTGTGTGAGAGGTTGTGGTGTGTGAGAGGTTGTGGTGTGTTAGTTACTGTGGTGTGTGAGAAGTTGCGGTGTGTGAGAGGTTGTGGTGTGTGAGAGGTTGTGGTGTGTGAGAGGTTGTGGTGTGTGAGAGGCTGTGTTGTTTGAGAGGTTGTGGTGTGTTAGTTGCTGTGGTGTGTGAGAAGTTGCGGTGTGTGAGAGGATGTGGTGTGTGAGAGGATGTGGTGTGTGAGAGGTTGCGGTGTGTGAGAAGTTGTGGTGTGTGAGAGGCTGTGGTGTGTGAGAGGCTGTGGTGTGTGAGAGGTTGTGGTGTGTGAGAGGCTGTGGTGTGTGAGAGGCTGTGGTGTTGGAGAGGCTGCGGTGTGTGAGAGGTTGTGGTGTGTGAGAGGCTGCGGTGTGTGAGAGGATGTGGTGTGTGAGAGGCTGCGGTGTGTGAGAGGTTGTGGTGTGTGAGAGGTTGCGGTGTGTGAGAGGATGTGGTGTGTGAGAGGCTGCGGTGTGTGAGAGGTTGTGGTGTGTGAGAGGTTGTGGTGTGTGAGAGGCTGCGGTGTGTGAGAGGTTGTGGTGTGTCAGAGGCTGCGGTGTGTGAGAGGTTGTGGTGTGTGAGAGGATGTGGTGTGTGAGAGGTTGTGGTGTGTGAGAGGTTGTGGTGTGTGAGAGGCTGCGGTGTGTGAGAGGTTGTGGTGTGTGAGAGGCTGCGGTGTGTGAGAGGCTGTGGTGTGTGAGAGGTTGTGGTGTGTGAGAGGCTGCGTGTGTGAGAGGCTGTGGTGTGTGAGAGGCTGTGGTGTGTGAGAGGCTGTGGTGTGTGAGAGGTTGTGTTGTTTGAGAGGCTGTGGTGTGTGAGAGGTTGTGGTGTGTGAGAGGCTGTGGTGTGTGAGAGGTTGCGGTGTGTGAGAGGCTGTGGTGTTCATCTTCTTGGTTCTTTCGGTAAAGTCACGTAGAATGGAAATAACAAAATAATAAAAATAAAACATAATAAGATAATTCTCACGACGTTTCGGCCACAACGCAAGCAGCCGTCGTCAGGTGAAGAACAGGTCTGTCAGAAAGACAGCGTCTGAATGAACACCACCAGGCTTGGCAGCGTATATTTAAGCTGGGTTGGAGGGGGAAGAGCGCCTTGACAAAGGAATTTGCATATCAACAGGAATTTAGCATATTTATGGGAAATGCAGGTATGTGATTAGTACTACTTATGCCCGTGCATTATGCAGGATTTGCAGCATCAAAGGGAGGGGATATGGGAAATGCAGGTATGTGATTAGTACTACTTATGCCCGTGCATTATGCAGGATTAGCAGCATCAAAGGGAGGGGATATGGGAAATGCAGGTATGTGATTAGTACTAATTATGCCCGTACATTATGCAGGATTAGCAGCATCAAAGGGAGGGGATAGGGGTAGCATTAATAAAGGGAAGGAGTGTTAATAGTATGTAGCTGCAGTAACTAAAACCACCACGTGAACAACTAAAGTATAAACTACATAGTATCATCAGTATACTAAATATACTCTACAATAAGCTGAGTTACTAACAGTAAGTAATACATTACAATTCTACGTCGTAAAAAATATAATATGCTTCCATCTAAACTTTATTCTCCTACATCACACGAGTCTACACCGTACTATATACTGCCATAGACAAAACGTAGAATTGTGTGTGAGAGGCTGTGTTGTGTGAGAGGTTGTGGTGTTTTAGAGGTTGTGGTGTGTGAGAGGTTGTGGTGTGTTAGTTGCTGTGGTGTGTGAGAAGTTGCGGTGTGTGAGAGGATGTGGTGTGTGAGAGGATGTGGTGTGTGAGAGGCTGTGGTGTGTGAGAGGTTGCGATGTGTGAGAGGCTGTGGTGTGTGAGAGGCTGTGGTGTGTGAGAGGTTGTGTTTTTAGAGGTTGTGGTGTGTGAGAGGTTGTGGTGTGTTAGTTGCTGTGGTGTGTGAGAAGTTGCGGTGTGTGAGAGGTTGTGGTGTGTGAGAGGTTGCGGTGTGTGAGAGGTTGTGGTGTGTGAGAGGTTGTGGTGTGTTAGTTGCTGTGGTGTGTGAGAGGCTGTGGTGTGTGAGAGGATGTGATGTGTGAGAGACTGTGGTGTGTGAGAGGCTGTGGTGTGTGAGAGGCTGTGGTGTGTGAGAGGCTGTGGTGTGTGAGAGGCTGTGGTGTGTGAGAGGCTGTGGTGTTTGAGAGGTTGTGGTGTGTGAGAGGCTGTGGTGTGTGAGAGGCTGTGGTGTGTGAGAGGCTGAGGTGTGTGAGAGGATGGTGTGTGAGGGCTGTGGTGTGTGAGAGGATGTGGTGGTTGAGAGGCTGTGGTGTGTGAGAGGCTGTGGTGTGTGAGAGGCTGTGGTGTGTGAGAGGCTGTGGTGTGTGAGAGGCTGTGGTGTGAGAGGTGTGTGGTGTGAGAGGATGTGATGTGTGAGGAGACTGTGGTGTTTGAGAGGTTGTGGTGTGTGAGAGGCTGTGGTGTGAGGATGTGGTGTGTGAGAGGATGTGGTGTGTGAGAGGATGTGGTGTGTGGGAGGCTGTGGTGTTTGAGAGGTTGTGGTGTGTGAGAGGCTGTGGTGTGTGAGAGACTGTGGTGTGTGAGAGGCTGTGGTGTGTGAGAGGCTGTGGGTGTGAGAGACTGTGGTGTTTGAGAGGTTGTGGTGTGTGGGAGGTTGTGATGTGTGAGAGACTGTGGTGTTTGAGAGGCCAGAGGCCCTCAGTCCCCGAAGGCGTGCTAGTGCGATTCCGGCCCTCTTTGCTTGACCGCTCTCCGTTTTGCCCGCTACCGATAAGCAGCGTTTGCCGCGGTGTTGGTGGCGGTGGCGGCGCTGGGCAGCTGTTTGCTTGCGTGGTCGTCCTGCATTTGTTGGTATGCGACTTGACGATGAGCAGGCATAGCCACACGCAACGCTTGAGAGCCGGCGCTCGCGGGGGTCGGCCTTCACCCAGCTCTCGAGCGTCCAGTACTCCGACCCCTTGGAGGTGCATGCGAGGTTGTTGCTTCACAGAACCTCGTGCAGCTCTGCTGGACTCAGCTCGAGGAACACCTCGGTGCAGCGGACCTCTTCGAAGCGCTGCTGCTGGAAGCGCCACGCCGCTAGGCATTGCTTGGGGCAGCTGTGAGCGTCGGTGAAGCGCGCGATGTCGAAGCAGTTGGCTGGGTCGAGCTGGTAGTCGAGGAACTCGCAGTGCTCTTTGAGCGCCAGCCTCACCTCGACGAGGTGGGGCGCCACCACGGCCCATGTGCGAAAGAGGTGCAGCGCTCACCCACCCACAAACGCGCTAACCCACCCACAAACCCACCTACTCACCCACTCAGTCACTTACCCACTCAGTCACCCATTCACCCACCCAATCACACACTCACTCACTCATCCACTCAACCACCCACCCACTCGCCCACCCACTCACTCACACACTCACTCATCCACTCAGGTTACGTTCCTGTGGTAATGTTCTACCACACTTAAGTACGTGCAAAAACTTTCTTAACATGAACCACCCTATATATACTTAAATTTTCTTACGAATGTATATATATATGAATGGATGCGTGCAGTTGGCGTACAGTCATTCACGGGCGGAGCCCCGGGCTACATCTACGCCACCGGTGAAAGGGACGGCTATTTCAGCGTCATCTGTGACAGGGCGCCCGCGCCTGGCGAGCACCCGTCCCGGATTACGACCTCGAAAAGTCTCTTGAATATCATCGCCAGCGTCTACGCCGTAGGCTGCTCGCCCAACGAATGCTGGGCCTGCGACTCCTCATCCCGTATGTGGCATAAGCCCAACGTTGACTGCGCCAACACGACGTGGGTGAGGGGTCCAGACCCTCCGGCTTTAGCCAAGAAAATAGAGGTGGACTCCGCGGGTGGAGTCTACCTCCTCGGAATCGATGCACGACTCTACTACAGGTTGGAGTTGTGTTGTTTATTCTATGGGTCTCATTTTTTATTCTGTGGGTGGCAATGTTAAGTCTATGGGTCTCATTGTGAGTCTGTGGGTCTCATTGTTGAGTCTGTGGGTCTCATTGTTGAGTCTGTGGGTCTCATCGTTGAGTCTGTGGGTGGCAATGCTGAGTCTATGGGTGGCAGTGCTGAGTTTATGGGTCTCAGTGCTGAGTCTATGATGCAGTGTTGAGTCTCATAGGTGGCAGTGGAGTCTCATGCGTGGCAGTGCTAAGTGCTAACTATGGCTGGCAGTGTTGAATCTATGGATGGCAATGTTGAATCTCTGCGTGGCAGTGCTGAGTCTATGGGTGACAGTTTTGACTCTATGGGTGGCAGTGCTGAGTCTATGGGTGGCAGTGTTGAGTCTATGGGTGGCGGTGCTAAGTCTATGGGTGGCAGTGCTGACTCTGTGGGTGGCAGTGCTGACTCTATGGGTGGCAAGTGCTGAGTCTATGGGTGGCAGTGTTGAGCATATGGGTGGCAATGTTAACTATATGGATGGCAGTGTTGATTCTTTGGGTGGCAGTGCTGACGATGGTTGGCAGTGCTGAGTCTATGGTGCGGTGCTGAGTCTATGTTGTCTCTGTTCTTCACGCAGGGCTGTGAATGGCGCGGCGTGGACTGAGCCAAATTCCCGGTGGATACTTCTTGTCCATCACTGTACACGAATCTAACCTTATCGTCCTAGACGCCTACGGGGCCATGAAGATATGCAAACTGTGACACCATTATTCGCTCACCCACTCACCTGTTCGCTACCCTACCCACCAACTCACCCAACCCACTCACCAACCCTCTCACCCACCCCTCTCACTCATATACCCACCCATGCACCCACCCACCTCACTCAACCACCCACTCATACACCCACCCACCTCACTCACCCACCCACTCTCTCACCCATTCATTATCTCACCACTCACCTATCCACTCATCCACCCACTCTCTCAACCACTCACCCATTCACCCACCCACTCACTCACAAACTCACCTGCCCACTCATTCACTTACCCACTCACCCCCACTCATTCACTCACCCATCCACCCACTCACACACCCATTCACCCGCTCACCCACCCACTCACCCACTCACTCGCCCTCCCACTCACCCACCTAGGTGATAGATACGTGGTGGTGGTGAGCCTTTAATTGTTGTTGTGTTTTGAGATTAAATGTAACGAAATAAGAACATTCAACAAAGAGTGTAATCTACGGAACTTCAATGGACAGTCATTCAGCAGCCTTTACAGAGACACCTCGATATACCAAGATGTTATCTGCCTCGTCTGGTATGCCAGAGGTCTTGGGAGATGGTGGTGATGGTGGTGGTGACGGGGGTAATGGCGATGGTGGTTGTGATGGTGGTGGTCGTAGTCATGGTGGTGGTAGGTGATGTGGATGGTGGTGATGGTGGCGGGGATCGTGGTGATGGTGGTGGTGATGGTGGTGGTGATGGCGATGGTGGTGATGGGGGTGATGGGGATGGTAAAAATGAAATGAGAAAATAAAAAAATACGTAAAATGTGTTAATGTAGTTAATTAAGTGTGATTAACAAAAAATAGGCATTAGGTGTAATTAATAATGTTGAAGTATGGGAATTGACGGCAGGAACTTCTTGACGGGAACACACTTTTATTAAATCTTTACGTATCAAAATACAACGTGTAGTCTCCTTCAATGACTTCACACTCCACTACTCTCGTGTAAACTCTAGGCCTCTGGCTACACACGATACCCTTCACTCGTGTAGACCCTATGCCTCTGGCTACACAATACACTCGACTCGTGTAGACCCTATGTCCCTGGCTACACACACTGCATTCGGCTCGTGTAGACCTTATGCCTCTGGCTACACACACTACACTCGCCTCTGGGTTACACAGAGTCCCGGTCCCGTTAGGACAGCGGGACTAGGTACCGCAGGGCCCTAGGTCTTCATCCCCGTCTTCATTCTTCGCTGGTTACACACTGCCCTCACGCCTGTGTGCATCCCCTTTTATAGCCCCTGCTCACGAGAGGCGGAGCTGATGCGTACTTCAACGTGAGCATCGCTCCTTAATGAACCAATCACGACGCACTCTCTCTACGATCCGTTTTCCCCAGCGCGTGTTAACACTCCTCCACCAATCACACCGCGCTGCCACCCGATCACTCCCTCTCAGCACGTCACCGGTCCACAGCCAATCAGTACCCGTAACCCACGACCCCGCGCTGACCCCTGATCCTCCACTGTCAGCGCACGTCACCACCTACACAGCCAATCATTACGCACTGGCATACGATCTCTAATCCCAGCGCGTATCACCTCTACATCACCCCCTCCCACATAGCTTGCAGCCGGCCCGGCTGTTAACCAACAACACAACCTAACGTCAATGCAGTAACAAAGAAACTCCACCTCTCAGTGTGCCCCGTAACGCAACAACAAC